CGACCGGGACAAGTTTATGGGTCGGGTCAACTTCCGGGTCAAAGTGTCGGAGTGACGGGACTCACCGGTTTCCATGGACACCACAAACTGAATTTTAACTGGAAACACCCCTCCAGTTCTTGACACGTCGTAATCCAGACCTGATCTAATCCTTGACGTCTGAATCTGGTTTATCCTGTTCAGACTGTTATCAGGAAACCAGATCTGGACCACTGAGAGCTAAATATGGTTACACTGCCAGAACCCTTTAGAACTGATCTGTTTCAGACCTGATCTGGTTCAGACCCGGTTAACCCTAACCCTGGTCCAGATGTTTTTCTTTACTACAGATGTGCTCCTCAGTAGACCAAACATAAACCAGAGTGACTCCAGTTTAACCCGTTCAGACAGCTGGAGCGGATCAGGTCTGTTGTGAGCTGTTTTCAGATGTGTGTATGATAGTGTTTTAATACGATCCCAGTAGTCCGTTACAGAAACCAGCTCAGTGACCCGGTAATCAGCTTCATGCCTTTGTAATAGAACACCACGCTGAACATGTGACTCGGCGTGAACTCGTTCAGGGACGGTCCAGCAGCCGGATCGCTGTGTTTCATGTTTCACCTGAATTCTAGCTTCCTGTTTTAAAGTCGTGTCACTGTGACTCTGTGTTAGGGACAGATTATTAACGATGATGGCAACGGCTCCTGCAGGGGGCGCTCTGCGTAGACCTGCAGCAGAGAGCGCCCTCTACAGGACAAACTGTCAGAAATAATGCTAATATATAGTTTATGAATCTGTTAAGCTCCTCCCACTGTAACCCGACTGTACAACCACGCGCACAGATTTTTAAACGTGACTTTGAGTGTTGTGTGATTATTGATCCTGACGACTCAGCAGTTTCTATCCTGAATAAAAGACTCTAAAACAAACAGATTCATGTTTTTTTTACGTTTCTGTCTGCTGAAGGAACGATGACAGGTAGCGATGTGCGACACCACTTACCGCCTTTACGATCCGATACCAAGTAATACCCAGGCTGGGACTGCCGACACGGATACTTTCTGTGTATTTTATTTCTTGTGTAATGTGACAACCAGTTTTTATTTTAAAGTAAAGTAAAAAAAAGTAGACCGTAGGCTTATTATAGCTGCGTAATGACAAGACCTTAAACTACTCATAATCTTTAATTCTAATAAAAATCTCTGAGACAAATAAACATTTGACTCTAAACCTAAACAGATGTGAAGGTGAATTCATAAGGACTCAGGAAAAGACAACTGCTCTTTTCTACGCTGTCTAACTATGTGACGCGGAGGTCAGTGACACGGCGTGCTGCGGGGAAACTACAGTTCTTTCACCGTGTTGTTTCTTGCGGGCCATAAAGGTGGAAACAATTACTTCATCCTCCAAAAAAAGGCGAGTCAGTCAGCAGATAATGGAAACGCTTAATCACACGTCCTCCTGCACGCCATGCAGTTCATCTAGTGACTACAATCTGTAGAGGTCCTCCAGTTCCCTTTATTAAGGAATCTGTGAAGTAAAAAGAATTAAAGATGTTTGTCCAACAGTAACTAAATCTAACGTCATTATTTATGGTAGAAACATTCGGAGCTCACGTTCCATTTGTTTCATTTAACACATGTTAAAGGCTGTTGTCCTGCGACTGGTCGCGGGCCAGATGTTCGACGCCACATCAGACAGAGGAGCCCTGCTCACCAGATGCGTTGGTGGTATAGTGGTTAGCATAGCTGCCTTCCAAGCAGTTGACCCGGGTTCGATTCCCGGCCAACGCAGATCTGTTCTCCTTGGCGTGGAACTTTTTCACCAGGCTGCAGGCTGATATCTGACGTCAAAGATGGTGAAATTAGAAACAGCAGCTAATAAAGTAAAAACCGGAGGGAGGGACAGATGAGGTCAGTCTGGTTTTAAAGCTGATTTACACATTTGGATTTCATCAGAAAGCCATGACGAGATCTGTGGGGATCAGAACCAGAACTGACATATTTGAAACGATAGCCAACGCTGCCGCCACGTTCCTTCTCATGTTCACCTGAACTGTAGCATTTAGCTTCAGCCCTGAGCGGTCACTGCTAACGTTAGCATAAAACAGCTAACTGACAGCTACTGTTAGCATTAAACAGCTAAGTATCAGCTAACTTTAGCATAAAACAGCTAAGTGAAAGCTAACTTTAGCATAAAACAGCTAACTGACAGCTACTGTTAGCATTAAACAGCTAAGTAACAACTAACTTTGGCATAAAACAGCTAACTGACAGCTACTGTTAGCATTAAACAGCTAAGTATCAGCTAACATTAGCATAAAACAGCTACGTTACAGCTAACAATAGCATAAAATAGCTAAGTAACAGCTAACTTTAGCATAAAACAGCTAACTTACAGCTACTGTTAGCATTAAACAGCTAAGTAACAACTAACTTTGGCATAAAACAGCTAAGTAACAGCTACTGTTAGCATTAAACAGCTAAGTAACAGCTAAAATAAGCGTAAAACAGCTAAGTAACAGCTAACGTTACGCGTTAAACAGCTACATTACAGCTAACGTTGGCGTTAAACAGCTACGTTACAGCTAACAATAGCATAAAACAGCTAAGTAACAGCTTATGTTGGAGTTAAACAGCTACATTACAGCTAACATTAGCATTAAACAGCTAAGTTACAGCTAACGTTGGCATTAAACAGCCAAGGTTAGTTTTAGACGCTGTGGCTTTTAGATGGACGACGGGTGGCTGAAGTTACATTACATGAACAGCTACATTACAGCTAACATTAGCATTAAACAGCTAAGTTACAGCTAACGTTGGCATTAAACAGCCAAGGTTAGTTTTAGACGCTGTGGCCTTTAGATGGACGACGGGGGACGACATTTATTAAACATGTTTCCTCTTTAAAGAACGAATTCAGCTCCTGCTCCCACAGGTGTTCGTATCATAGACTGGATGTAAAAAGGTAGATCAGAAAATAATCCCGACCTGTCGGCTCTGAGAAGCTCCTTTTTACAAAGGTTTCAGATTTCTGTTAGAAACAGATTTAACCGTTTGGAGATACGCTGTGTATAAAAAGCTGATCGCGGGCCAGATGTTGGACGCCACATCAGACAGAGGAGCCCTGCTCACCAGATGTGTTGGTGGTATAGTGGTTAGCATAGCTGCCTTCCAAGCAGTTGACCCGGGTTCGATTCCCGGCCAACGCAGATCTGTTCTCCTTGGCGTGGAACTTTTTCACCAGGCTGCAGGCTGATATCTGACGTCAAAGATGGTGAAATTAGAAACAGCAGCTAATAAAGTAAAAACCGGAGGGAGGGACAGATGAGGTCAGTCTGGTTTTAAAGCTGATTTACACATTTGGATTTCATCAGAAAGCCATGACGAGATCTGTGGGGATCAGAACCAGAACTGACATATTTGAAACGATAGCCAACGCTGCCGCCACGTTCCTTCTCATGTTCACCTGAACTGTAGCATTTAGCTTCAGCCCTGAGCGGTCATGGCTAACGTTAGCATAAAACAGCTAAGTGACAGCTAACTTTAGCATAAAACAGCTAAGTGACAGCTAACTTTAGCATAAAACAGCTAAGTGAAAGCTAACTTTAGCATAAAACAGCTAAGTAACAGCTAATGTTAGCATTAAACAGCTAAGTAACAACTAACTTTGGCATAAAACAGCTAACTGACAGCTACTGTTAGCATTAAACAGCTAAGTATCAGCTAACATTAGCATAAAACAGCTACGTTACAGCTAACAATAGCATAAAACAGCTAAGTAACAGCTAACTTTAGCATAAAACAGCTAACTTACAGCTACTGTTAGCATTAAACAGCTAAGTAACAACTAACTTTGGCATAAAACAGCTACATATCAGCTAACATTAGCATTAAACAGCTAAGTAACAGCTAAAATAAGCATAAAACAGCTAAGTAACAGCTACTGTTAGCATTAAACAGCTAAGTAACAGCTAAAATAAGCATAAAACAGCTAAGTAACAGCTAACGTTACGCGTTAAACAGCTACATTACAGCTAACGTTGGCGTTAAACAGCTACGTTACAGCTAACAATAGCATAAAACAGCTAAGTAACAGCTTATGTTGGAGTTAAACAGCTACATTACAGCTAACATTAGCATTAAACAGCTAAGTTACAGCTAATGTTGGCATTAAACAGCCAAGGTTAGTTTTAGACGCTGTGGCCTTTAGATGAACGACGGGTGGCTGAAGTTACCTGTTGAGGGAAAATCTTAATTCTAATCTTCTTGTTTAGCAGAAACTCTACTGTTTGTTCTTTAGATTTATGATACTGAACATTTATTAAACATGTTTCCTCTTTAAAGAACGAATTCAGCTCCTGCTCCCACAGGTGTTCGTATCATAGACTGGATGTAAAAAGGTAGATCAGAAAATAACCCCGACCTGTCGGCTCTGAGAAGCTCCTTTTTACAAAGGTTTCAGATTTCTGTTAGAAACAGATTTAACCGTTTGGAGATACGCTATGTATAAAAAGCTGATCGCGGGCCAGATGTTGGACGCCACATCAGACAGAGGAGCCCTGCTCACCAGATGCGTTGGTGGTATAGTGGTTAGCATAGCTGCCTTCCAAGCAGTTGACCCGGGTTCGATTCCCGGCCAACGCAAACGTGTATTTTTTCCCCCCGCTGACAGACTTCAGTTTTAATTTCAACGATGGCGATAGGATTAGTTACAGCAGGTAAGAAATGAAATGACTGGATAATGAAAAATTGTCTCACTGGTTTAAGTGCATTTTTAATTCTTTTTTATATTATGTCAGTTTTACATTTATATATTTGTAGAAATCCTCTGGCCTATAATATGTTTGGACAACATCTGTTTATTCCACTTTTATATCTTTTAAATCTGTTTATACACATGTAGTAAACTGCTCGTAAGACTCAGTGCTGTGACATTTACTGTCCGCCGGGGGGCGCTGTTGGACACTCCTTTTATTTTGAAGGAGGCTGGCTACAGACCGGAAATGATACTCTTCAGACTCGGAAGCGGTTGTTCGTGTTTTTGTGTGACTGAAAAGGCGCCGAGGAGAAACCCGCGTCCGTTTTCAGGCTGCTGAAACTTCTCCGGTCCACCTAGTCCGTCCTCAGACCGCCGGGAGCCTCCGGGAGCCGGACTTTAAGCTCCGGACCGGCTGCTGCCGCCGCCCGCCGTTTTTGTGTCTCCTCTGATGCCAGTTAGCCGTTAGCCGTTAGCCGCTGTGTGTCATGGCGGCCGGAGGCGGCGCGGCTCCTGCTCACGTCGGTGATGTTGAAGAAGATGCTTCCCAGCTGCTGTTTCCTAAAGGTCGGTGTTTGTTTACACACTGATTTCACCCTGCCGCACGTTATTCATGCCAGCTCGTTCCCGCCACGAGACACTGCGGGATAACGCGGAAGCTTATCTCGGAGTTTCCGGTTACAAACAAAGAAAACAACAGTTTTCATTTTCAAACATTGTGCACTGACAAAACATATATAATGTTTTTATATATGAAATTAAGGGAAGGGGCGTTTTCGGTCTTATAATCTGTCAAATATAAGTCTTCTGAATGACAGCAAGTCATTTTGAGGCAGAAACTAGCTTTCAGTCAGTAAGGTTAGTAGAATACTGCATTTTATGGGCTGTTTTGGCCATTTAGAGGTATTTTTAGAGGTAAAAAGTACTAGGTGAGTTATAATCTCACAGATATAACCCTCATGAATATAATCAAGTCATTTCAGGGCAGAATCTACCTTTCAGTCAACAAGTAGAGGCTGCGGTCACTTTCTGGCAAATACACACGCTGTATTGGACATTTAAAGGTATTTGAACAGGTAAAAAAGGTCTGGATCTGTCGGTACACAGCAGATTAGATAAATTAGAGTATGTTATTAAGGATAATTGTAAACGAGATCATTATTTTTAATATAAATCAGCAGTAAGTCGTGTTGATTATAAGCCTACAGTCCCGTTTTCTAAATATAAACAAGAATATGAGACACACGCCTACCAAACACATTTTCCAGCAGCAGCAGCAGCAGCAGGCTTCAGTTGTTGCCTATAATCACGTAAATGTCAGGCCTGGTTACGCTATAAACACTTCATTTGGCCACAGTTGTGATTATTCCGTTAAAAGTTTCACAAAGACAAACCTTTGCTGTTACCGCGGATATAAAGTGGTGTTTATTTGCACGTCATGTCAGTTTGATCCAGATAAAAGCAGCCGTAGACGTAAAGAAACTGGTCGGTACAGGTTTAACATGCTGCTGCACTCCCGCAGATGAGAATCAGTTTCTGGACATGTAAAATCTGATTTCAGGTCTGTTAACGCCTTCTACAGTCTGTGATTAACACTCATTTAAAAGCGGGGACATTTCTGGGGACGTCTGGTCACCCTAGGGTTCATACAGTGTGCGGGATTTATATTTTACGATAATATTTAAATGCTAAAATCTTTGTTTAAATTCAGTATAACTACAAACTGCCCAGGACTACAAACATGGCGTCCGTGCTCTTGTTCGTACAGTTCCGCTCCTCTGAGCCTGTGGCGTCGTTGTTGTTGTTGTTGTTGCAGAGTTTGAGAACGCGGAGACACTGCTGAACTCGGAGGTCCACATGCTGCTGGAACACAGGAAGCAGCAGAACGAGAGCGCCGAGGACGAGCAGGAGCTGTCCGAAGTCTTCATGAAGACCCTGAACTACACGGCTCGGTTCAGCCGCTTCAAGAACCGGGAGACCATCACTGCCGTCCGCAGGTCAGCCTCTTGTGGACACGGTGTGAGTCTCTGTGGTCTGATCTGGATCTGACGCCCCCCTTCTGTCTCTCTGTCCTCAGTCTCCTCCTGCAGAAGAAGCTGCACAAGTTCGAGTTGGCCAGTTTAGCAAATCTGTGTCCTGAAGCTGCTGAGGAGGCCAAGGCCCTGATCCCCAGGTAGGTCTGATCCACGTCAGATCCAGATGCGCTAACCAGAACCGGGTCGCAGCATCTGACCGCTGCTGCTGCTTTTTAACGGCCAGCTGTAACCTGGCGGATCGTCATCACCAACATCCGATCAGGTCTAGAGGGTTTAGATTTTTCCATCCAGCACTCGGATCGGAAGTCCTCCGGCACCGGGTCTTTCTGCTCAGATGCTGGACCGGGTTCCGTAGGCTGGTTCTGTTTTACAGCAGACTCGCTGTACAGAGCTGCTGTTTCCTGTTAGCTTCAGATGATCTTAGGACACTTCCTGTCTCTCTCTCGTCTCCCTCCATTCTACAGTCAGCGCCGTCCAATCACATCCGCAGTAGAGCCGAACGATTGGGATAAGTTTTGCTAAAGTTCAGTATTCACTGCCGGTCTATTTCTGACTGAAGCGACGTGAGAGCAGATGAACCAGGCAGGAAGTCAGACTCAGAACGGCACAGAGAATCTGAAAGTCGATTTTCAAAATAAAACACCATGTGCAGACTCCCGATCGTAGATCAACAATAAACACAGTTAAACAGACCAAAGAAAAGACACAATTTAACTACGTAGCTACTTCACCGTGGCAGAAGCACTAAAATACAACTGAACAAAATCTGAATGACTCTGCAAAGTCAGACGGGCAAAACGCTCTTATTCTGAAATGCTCCATGTAGGATATGTAGCGTTAGCCTGCAGCGAGCAGAGCGGGCTCTCAGAGAGGTCAGGCTGAACGCTCCGCTGCAGAAACGCATCAGTCTGAGTAGACGCCGGACAATACCGCGGCTCGGCCGGCGCCATTAACATGTTTTCCTCCAGTTTGGCTGCTGTTGTAAAATGTACACGCCCTGTGCTCGCTCTGATCGGTGAGTAGGACCGTAACAGGAGCCTCAGGGCGAAGCTTTTTAGTCTTGGAGTTCTGGGAATCTTCTCAGCTCTAATCTGCCGTCTCGTTCGCTGTCTTGACTTCAACTTTAATAAAAATAAATAAAGTTGTTTTACCGCCGCTGCAGCTTCAGCGTCTGCTAACAGGCTCAGGTGTGTGTTGATGTGTGTTTGTGTGTGTGTTTTCAGTTTGGAGGGTCGGTTTGAAGACGAGGAGCTGCAGCAGATCCTGGATGACATCCAGACCAAGAGAAGCTTCCAGTACTGAGACCAGGACTGCAGTCTGGGTCTCTGCCCCCCTTCAGGTCCCTGTCCTCCCTGCAGTGTTTAATTTCTTTCTGACCACTGAATTGATCCTGTGATCTGATGACATCACAGTCCTCCAGGTGCTTTATTGTTCAGCTCAACGTTCCTGACGTCACAATAAACTTTGTTTCTACATCACCGCCTCTGCCTGCTTTGTACTGGGGCCTCCTGGTTCTGGTCTTATTTAGTCCATCCTGTGAGACCTGCAGGTGTAGGTGTGTGTGTGTGTGTGTACAGGTGTGCAACGCTGTTTCACGTCTCTGAAAGAACATCAGACAGAAAGACGGCGAGAGACGCTCAACGCCTCGCCGTCCTGTTAGACACCTGCTGAGACAGGTGATTTCAAACACAGACAGGAAGTGAGAGAGTTGCTGGTTTGAGTCTGAACAGGAGGTTTAATGACAAAAAGAAGAAGTGAAGTGTTGCTGGCTGCTGATTGGTGCTCTGAAGTTTTTCTCCGTCCAATAAAAGCCAGAAGACAAACTGTCGGGTCCAAATGTGTCTGTAGTTCTGTAGGAAGTCCATCCGGGTCTCTGTTCAGACCCTCAAACGTTGACACAATACGCCGCGGCCGGGTTTGTGTCCTCCGACTCATCCAGAGCTTCGGGCAGGACGCCGCTGGACGTCCTCGCCATCCTCACGCTGTTCCTGCCTAACAGCCGCCGCTCGTCCTCCATCAGCTGCCTCCAGAACCCGGCGTTGGGTCGGATGAACGGCCGCCGCTCCAGAACCAGCTCGTGGGCCTGCCGCAGGCTGAGGCCTTCAGACCTGCAGAGACCGTATAGAAGTACCAGTACCGCAGTATAAAATACTACAGATGTAGTACAAAGGGATTAATTATGGGACAATAAACCCACAGCAATGACTGACAGGTAAGGCTGGAGTTTACCTCATCAGGTAGGCCATGACCAGGGTGGGGGATCGGCTCCTGCCTGCAGTGCAGTGGACCAGGGTCCCCCCTGTTTGGTTCTGACTGATCTGTTCAGCCACTGAGTCAAAGTAGTGTCTCAGGGGGGCATGAGGTTGGTCCTGGACGGGGACATGGAGGACGTGCAGGCCATCTAGCTGAGGGTAGGCCACGTCCTCCAGCCCGCTGGCGTTGATGATGAGCGTGATGTTCCTGCTGGAGAGGACGCCGAGGCTCAGAGCTGAGTCCAGACCGCTGAGGAACAGTCCAGGAGACACCTGAGACACCGACATGGCCAGCTGCAGAGAGAGTGGCGCCGTTACCTGCAAGACAAGACACGGGGCTCAAGTCAAAGATCAGAGTTGATGTTTCTGCCTTAAAAATTACAGAAATATTTAATTGATGATTAAAAACAGCTGATTGTTAATTTTGTGTAACGGATTAGTGGTTTAAGGTCTAAACTGGCCCCCCATCCAGGTTCTGGTCTGGATGTGGACGCAAAAGGATTTTTAGACACATGAACGAGTGAAAGTTATCTAAAAATCAATACCTACAGGATGTCATGTATGTTTAGTTTTATTATTGCGTTAATTAACGCTGCCAAATATATTTATCGCATGTTAACGCAGTTTTTTATTATTATTATTATTATACTGAGTACACATCCAGTCAGACCCTGGGTCACAGCAGGGGGGGTGTTGATCAGCCCGGGAGGCTTCGGCAGACGCCCTCCTGTTGGTGTCCTGTTCAGTTAAACTAACAAATTCTGGAATAGAAAAGAACTGCTGGAAAAAAGCTCCTTATCAGTTTAAAGTGTTTGCAAACCATATGTTGCATTTTGTGTATACGGCAGTACATTTAAATTCTCACTGAAGTAAAAATACCAGTACTGCAGTACGAAATGTGATGTAGAAGTACAGAGGGATTAATAATGGGGCATTAAACCCACAACAGTGACTGACAGGTGAGGCTACCTCATCAGGTAGGCCATTTACATTTATTCATTTAAAGTGACTTATAATTACTATATACAGGTGCTGGTCATATAATTAGAATATCATCAAAAAGTTGATTTATTTCAGTAATTCCATTCAAAAAGTGAAACTTGTATAATGTATACATTCATTCCACACAGACTGATATATTTCAAGTGTCCATTCCTTTTAATTTTGACAATTATAACTGACAACTAATGAAAACCCCCAAATCAGTTTCTCAGAAAATAAGAATATTGTGAAAAGGTTCAATATTGAAGACACCTGGAGCCACATTCTAATCAGCTAATTAACTCAAAACACCTGCAAAGGCCTTTAGATGGTCTCTCAGTCTAGTTCTGTAGGCTACACAATCATGGGGAAGACTGCTGACTTGACAGCTGTCCAAAAGACGACCATTGACACCTTGCACAAGGAGGGCAAGACACAAAAGGTCATTGCTAAAGAGGCTGGCTGTTCACAGAGCTCTGTGTCCAAGCACATTAATAGAGAGGCGAAGGGAAGGAAAAGATGTGGTAGAAAAAAGTGTACAAGCAATAGGGATAACCGCACCCTGGAGAGGATTGTGAAACAAAACCCATCCAAAAATGTGGGGGAGATTCACAAAGAGTAGACTGCAGCTGGAGTCAGTGCTTCAAGAACCACCACGCACAGACGTATGGAAGACATGGGTTTCAGCTGTCGCACTCCTTGTGTCCACTCTTGAACAAGACACAGCGTCAGAAGCGTCTCGCCTGGGCTAAAGACAAAAAGGACTGGACTGCTGCTGAGTGGTCCAAAGTTATGTTCTCTGATGAAAGTAAATTTTGCATTTCCTTTGGAAATCAAGGTCCCAGAGTCTGGAGGAAGAGAGGAGAGGCACAGAATCCACGTTGCTTGAAGTCCAGTGTGAAGTTTCCACAGTCAGTGATGGTTTGGGTGCCATGTCATCTGCTGCTGTTGGTCCACTGTGTTTTCTGAGGTCCAAGGTCAACGCAGCCGTCTACCAGGAAGTTTTAGAGCACTTCATGCTTCCTGCTGCTGACCAACTTTATGCAGATGCAGATTTCATTTTCCAACAGGACTTGGCACCTGCACACAGTGCCAAAGCTACCAGTACCTGGTTTAAGGACCACGGTATCCCTGTTCTTAATTGGCCAGCAAACTGGCCTGACCATAACCCTATAGAAAATCTATGGGGTATTGTGAAGAGGAAGATGCGATACGGCAGACCCAACAATGCAGAAGAGCTGAAGGCCACTATCAGAGCAACCTGGGCTCTCATAACACCTGAGCAGTGCCACAGACTGATGGACTCCATGCCACGCCGCATTGCTGCAGTAATTCAGGCAAAAGGAGCCCCAACTAAGTATTGAGTGCTGTACATGCTCATACTTTTCATGTTCATACTTTTTAGTTGGCCAACATTTCTAAAAATCCTCTTTTTGTATTGGTCTTAAGTAATATTCTCATTTTCTGAGATATTGAATTTGGGATTTTCTTTAGTTGTCACTTATAATCATCAAAAGTAAATGAAATAAACATTTGAAATAAATCAGTCTGTGTGTAATGAATTAATATAATATCCAAGTTTCACTTTTTGAATAGAATTACTGAAATAAATCAACTTTTTAATGATATTCTAATTAAATGACCAGCCCCTGTATATGTCAGAGGTCACACGCCTCTGGAGCAACAAGAGGTTAAGTTTCAGCTTCAGGGACACGATGGTGGATGGGTCACAGTGGGAATCGAACCCGGGTCTCTCACACCAAAGGAATGTGTCTTCTCCATTGTGCCATGAAAAATAAACTCTAAATGTTATAATATCTGTTATCTAAAAACACAGGAGAAGCGGTTGACGATGAATGGATGGAAAAACACTCCAGTTTAATTTGAGTATCTGAAAGCTGCTTTTTGTTTATTTATATTTATTTCAGGCTGAGCTGTGATTGGCTGCTCTGTCCCCGTTTTTTAAATAATTACCACCCATCTAGCTTTCACTTTGTAAACAGGAGTAGGCTATGTGAAAAGAAAATGAGTCTGTCAGAAGTGGGATTCGAACCCACGCCTCCAGAGGAGACTGCGACCTGAACGCAGCGCCTTAGACCGCTCGGCCATCCTGACGGCTTACATGCCAGCCGAGCTCAGACTTGAAAATGTCTTTATGAACGATTTAAAGTTACTTTAGTCCGCTGTTCAAATCCAACATGGCGACTCACCGGAATAAAGAGCTTTTAGTTGATTCGAGCTCAGATCTGAAGCCGCGAATCTAAAAGGAAGAAGAAGAAACGTTGACCGAGTTTGAAGTATTACGTATTCAGGGCGTGTTCGGGACATGTCCGGACACACACACACACACACACACACACACACACACACACACACACACACACACACACACACACACACACACACAGGGGATCATGGGATAATGAGTCACAGTCAGTTTAAATAGACTCAGTTTCGGGTTCCTCCTCTCTGACAGACCGACTGCACGCGCAGGTAAGATCTGTTCCTCTTTAACCCCCCAACAGTTAGCATGTTAGCCAGTTAGCCAGAGTCTCTCATTGCAATAAAAACTACAAATAAACAAAAACACGGTTTATTCTGCGCTGGCCGAACACGCCCACACCAAACTCCATTCAAAAAGATCACGGTTTAATGCCTCCTTCATACCTTCGCGTGCCGCTTGCTTATCCTACATCGTGTCCGACGTTTCCTCTAAGTAGTGTGTATTCTGAAGTATTCGGAGTGTATACTTACTAGTGTTCGGCCCTCGGGTCACACCACATAAACTTTCAGACTCGCTCAGTCACGGGCCATTTGGCTGGAATAACACGCTACGGGTCACTATAAAACCACAGGATTCATATAAAGACGTATCGCTGCTGTCACCAGATTATCGCCGAATACAAGAACTGCTCCTAATAATGCACCGGATATCAGAAGGGTTCATCTGACGAGTCTTTTTTTGATTTGTTCCAGATTAGTTTTTTTTCTGACATATTGCTAATGAAATTTGGTGAAGAGTGTGTAGCTGTCGGTGCGTTCAGAATGCTTGTAATGAGTGTAACAGAGTCGCTCTCACCTGTTCGCTCCTGATTTAAAATGAGCCTGAAATAAACAAATAAACAAGGTGCAGGACACCACTTCCGGCTTTAAAGTTTCAAGATAAAAGCTTTAATAAGGAAATTGTGTTCTAACTTTGACCCAACCAGCCTCAAATGATAAAAAAAATGAAAGTTTCTGTTTATATGAGTGTATATTCAGATTTTACTGTGCAGAACTTTGTGTTGAGATCAATGATTTTCACAGAGAAATCTCAGAATGTGCAGAATAAGTTACAGTTTCTATAAATCAGACCTTGAAAAGTCTTAAAAGCATTGATTTCATTAAAAACTTATTTTATATTGTACTACCTCTAAAGGTCTGAACTGTCTTCTGTAGACAGAAATGTTTTTTAATCTTTTGATTTATCATCCAGGCCTCAGACCTGAAGTAGTGTTACACACCTGAAGTACTGTGGTAAAGTAATCTCTTTCATACCTGTGATCAGCTACTGATTTTAAAGTCTGGATGGATCCTGCAGAAATTCGGGTTCATAAACCACTTTCTATTCTGATGTAGACAACATGAAGAACCAGAACCAGAACAAAGACCAGTTCACTGGGACGGGACGGACCCAGGAAACCATCATCCCCAAGGTCCGGTATCACCCGACCATCCAGACCCAGACAACCGGGGACGGAGCACGAGCCAAAACCAGGATCAGTCAAACCCAGAAGACCAGAGCTGCTGCTGTGCGCCCCCCAAAGACTGGGACTGACAGTAAGCCAGTCCCGGTGAACCAGGATGCCAACAAGACTCCTCAGGTTGATCCAGCTCCTGCTGTGAGACCACGTCCTGGTGGTGGACGAAAACAGGGCGTTCAGACACCTGTTAAGAAACCGAATCAGAAACAGGTTCAGGGAGCTGCTACAGATCCAGATCCACCTCAAACACCAGACCAGCTCCCTGGCATAGCCCTTCCCAGACCTGAGCAGGTCCCTCTGGGTCTGGGGGTCCAGTTGGACAGGTCTCTTGTGGAAGAAGTGGAGGTTCTGACCCGAGGACAGAGTACCAACCAGGACTGGTTCATGTGGAGGAAGAACCGGATCACGGCCTCCGTGGCTCACCGCATCGCTCACTGCCGCTTCGTCAACGGCAAGAGCAAAACCCCGCCCACCTCCTACCTGGCTGCTGTCACAGGTAAGCCCCGCCCACCTCCCACCTGGCTATTACAGGTAATAACCCCGCCCCCAACCACCTGGCTGCTGCTGATTGGTTCACTGATTAATTTTTCGATCTACCGCTGAAGAGCCGATCAGCTGAAACCGTTGTGCTTTGAGCTAGAAGCTAACATGCTAACATACTGATGTATAGCATGTTAGTTTAGCGTGTTAGCATGCTAACATTAGCCACTTAGCAGTAACAGGTGACTGACTGGTTCTTTAAACTGACTTGCCAGGTGAGGGGCGGAGCATCCAGACCAGAGCCATGAGCTGGGGGGTCCAGATGGAGGCCGAGGTCGTCCGCAGGTACCAGGTACGGTTCAACGCACCTGAAACTCTGTACAGCAGCATCTAAGCTAAGTTACCTGACAGTTCCTGAACTACATGGGTCCTCTTCAGGTTTGCAGTCCTGGGTCTGATCCTGGATCTGGCTGTAAACACATTTAGTGTTAATGATCCGTAAACTTTTCTAATTGATAACGAGACGGTTAACGACGTCTCATAATGATGAGATGTCATTGATCTCTAACGGAGGGAAACATGATGATGATGATGATGATGTCGTCCTGCAGAGACTGAAGAGCGCTGCGTTGGGACGGTCCGTCTCCGTTCAGGACTGCGGTTTGTTCATCGACGCTCAGAGGCCCTGGTTGGCTGCCAGCCCTGATGGCATTGTGACGGACAGCCGGACCGGCCAACGGCTGCTCTGCCTGGAGGTGAAGTGTCCCTACAAACACAGACACAAACGAGTGGAGGACGCCTGCGTGGAGGACCCCGCCTTCTGTCTGGAAATACAGGACCAGAACGGACAGCAGCCCGGAGGGGTAAAAAATCACAACATGTCCCTGTCCAGAAATGTCTATTCGTCCCTTATTGTCCCAGTCGTCCTCTCCTGGCCTCTAACGTCCTCTCCTTGTCTTCCTGTCCCAGTCGTCCTCTCCTGGCCTCTAACGTCCTCTCCTTGTCTTCCTGTCCCAGTCATCCTCTCCTGGTCTCTAACGTCCTCTCCTTGTCTTCCTGTCCCAGTTGTCTTCTCCTGGTCCTCCTGTCCCAGTTGACCTCTCCTTGTCTTCCTGTCCCAGTTGTCCTCTCCTGGTCTCTAATGTCCTCTCCTTGTCTTCCTGTCCCAGTTGTCCTCTCCTGGTCCTCCTGTCCCAGTCGTCCTCTCCTGGTCTCTAACGTCCTCTCCTTGTCCTCCTGTCCCAGTTGTCCTCTCCTGGTCCTCCTGTCCCAGTCATCCTCTCCTGGTCTCTAACGTCCTCTCCTGGTCTCTAACGTCCTCTCCTGGTCTTCCTGTCCCAGTTGTCCTCTCCTGGTCCTCCTGTCCCAGTCGTCCTCTCCTGGTCTCTAACGTCCTCTCCTGGTCTTCCTGTCCCAGTTGTCCTCTCCTGGTCTTCCTGTCCCAGTTGTCCTCTCCTGGTCCTCCTGTCCCAGTCGTCCTCTCCTGGTCTCTAACGTCCTCTCCTTCTCTTCCTGTCCCAGTTGTCCTCTCCTTGTCTTCCTGTCCCAGTCGTCCTCTCCTGGTCTTCCTGTCCCAGTTGTCCTCTCCTGGTCCTCCTGTCCCAGTCGTCCTCTCCTGGTCTTCCTGTCCCAGTCGTCCTCTCCTGGTCTCTAACGTCCTCTCCTTCTCTTCCTGTCCCAGTTGTCCTCTCCTGGTCTTCCTGTCCCAGTTGTCCTCTCCTGGTCCTCCTGTCCCAGTCGTCCTCTCCTGGTCTCTAACGTCCTCTCCTTGTCTTCCTGTCCCAGTTGTCCTCTCCTGGTCTTCCTGTCCCAGTTGTCCTCTCCTGGTCCTCCTGTCCCAGTCGTCCTCTCCTGGTCTCTAACGTCCTCTCCTTGTCTTCCTGTCCCAGTTGTCCTCTCCTTGTCTTCCTGTCCCAGTTGTCCTCTCCTGGTCCTCCTGTCCCAGTCGTCCTCTCCTGGTCTCTAACGTCCTCTCCTTGTCTTCCTGTCCCAGTTGTCCTCTCCTGGTCCTCCTGTCCCAGTCGTCCTCTCCTGGTCTCTAACGTCCTCTCCTTCTCTTCCTGTCCCAGTTGTCCTCTCCTTGTCTTCCTGTCCCAGTCGTCCTCTCCTGGTCCTCCTGTCCCAGTTGTCCTCTCCTGGTCCTCCTGTCCCAGTCGTCCTCTCCTGGTCTCTAACGTCCTCTCCTTCTCTTCCTGTCCCAGTTGACCTCTCCTTGTCTTCCAGTCCCAGTTGTCCTCTCCTTGTCTTCCTGTCCCAGTCGTCCTCTCCTGGTCTCTAACATCCTCTCCTTGTCTTCCTGTCCCAGTCCCCGGTCTACCGCCTGAAGACGTCTCACAGTTACTTCACACAGATCCAGTGTCAGCTGGCGGTGACCGGCCTGCGGCAGGCTGACCTCGCCGTCTTCACCCTGAAGGAGACAGCGGTCGTCCCGGTGACCTTTGACCCCGACCTGTGGCAGGTGACAGTGTCCAAACTGGAGGTGTTTTACAGGGACGGCGTCCTGCCTCACCTCAGAGGGAAGACACAGCAGGACTCAGCGGCGTGGACACCGGAGCCATAGAAATGTGTCACGTGTTCCCCGCTGCTCTGTGGTGACCTCTGACCTCTGCTTCTGCTTTCTATGGTAACGCCTCTGCAGTGAGCTGTTCCTCACAACCTGTGCCTACATTACCCACAATGCAACTCTTCCTCTGACTGCTGGGTGGTGGATCGTGGCCGGCTTCCCCTGGTCTCCCTGTGTTTAAACACAGACTGTATAGAAGAAGTGGGCGTAGTCATGGTGATGTCACCCGTTGGTTTGTGGACCGCCGTTTTGAAGCCTCGAGTTTGGCCGTTAGGGCGCCGCCATGTTGAGTTTTTGCAACCAGCGTCACCGGACGTGACCATATTTGGACGAGACGGTGGAGCTGTGTGCGGCGATAGGTAGCTAGGTGCATCTGTCATTTTAACAGCTGATAACTTTGTCTTAAAACTAAATGTTCGAGCAGCCGACTCCGGATAAGCTTCTTCAGCGCCGCTGGTTAAATGTACACAGCGCCGTGGGTACGAGTCACTATCCTGATTGACAGGTCGCCATGGTAGCGACTTGTCAATCAGCTTGTAGCCCCGCCCTAAAGCCTCCCCTGCTTTCTGGTCTCTGTTCCTCTAAACATTTTACCTCCGGACTTCTGTTTGCAACCAGGAGAGTCGCCCCCTGCTGGCCGTTCAATAGGATGCAGGTTTAAGGGACTTCCGCATTGGATTCACGTCTCAGACCGGAAGCTTCCTGCTTGTTTAATGTGACAACGCTATGAACTGTGGGTAATTCCCTCAGTCTGCTGTAGGGCCGAACGATTAATCGTTTCCAAATTGAGATTTGAAAGAACGCGATTAGCTAATCGTGAAGACGGCTCTGTGCCGCCAGACGTGGCTTCCGTCAAAAATAGACTGGCAGTGAATATTAAACTTCAGCAAAACTTCAATTAAAAAAAAATCACAAATCGAATCTTAATCGCAATATCTGGCAGAAAAATCGCAATTAGATTTTTTCCCCAAATCGTTCAGCCCTAGTCTGCAGGATGGGGTTCAGCCTCACGTCACTGTGGGACCTTTTTATTCTCAGCTTATCGGCCTGGACAGCCTGGAGCTCTTCGTCTCAGGAATATTGATCACTATTCAATATACTTATTAATATTTCAAGGTTTTAGGGAGGCCGGAAGCACGGAGGCAGCCTGGATATAAACTGGATCAGGACTACTTGAATGTCTTTCCATCTCATGTACAGGTGTGATCACAGAGCAGGAGACGTTCAGGTGCATCATTATCTGCAGGATCTTCAGTCATCAAGGTGATGTTGCCTTTGAATTTAAAGGGGACCTGTTATGTTATGCAGTCCCATCCCTGCCGCAGCCTGCTAAATACGTAAGACATTGGCCAATCAGAAGACAGTGTGCTTTGAGAGGGGGGAGGGGTCTTAAAGAGACAGGCGCATCTACAGCTTGTTTCAGACAGAGGCTGAAATGAGTCAGTATAAGATACAAAATTATTTTTTATTAGATTTTTGTGATAGGTCTCCTTTAAGATTTGATACTAAGCAACGATGAAAGTCTCAACTTTGCTTCATTGCGTCTCTGTGTACTCTGGAGTGGTAGAACGTATATTTTTATTTTTTAACACACACGCATACAGTCCCTGACAAAAGTCTTGTCGCTTGTGTGCAAATTGACTTGAAGTGCCGCTGAAATATATTTCTAATCAAGATTTTTTTACAAGAAATGGCTCATTTTAATCCCAACAGCTTTTGTAATAATGTTTCAGTGCAAAACGAAACTGTCAAAAAGTATTCTAATATTCACAGCTTGGTAAAGCCCATTGAGTCAATTTTTGCAAAGACATAAGTGTTGTCGCCTTGTCATATGAGCTTCACCTGTGACTAATAATGGATCAATTAGGTCTCAGGTGTGTATAAAAACAACCCCAGTACACTCGACCTTCACATCAACAGCAACTAGACCTCTGCAAACATGCCTAAGATTCACCCTGAGACTAAGGTTTTGATTATCAAGAGGCTGAAGACCAGATCCACTGCTGATGTGGCAGACACCTTCAATGTGTCTCAGCGTCAAGTACAGAGGATAAAAAAAACATCTGAAGACATTTTTGACCGGTGTTTGTGTATCACATTTTTGACAAGCCTAGGTCAGGCAGGCGCCGCAAGACAACCGCTCGAGAGGACCGTTTGTTTGCTCGAAAATCCAAGGCCAGCCCATTTTCCACTGCAGCAGAGCTCCACGAGACCTGGTCACCTGAAGTCCCTGTGTCAACCAGAACAATTTGTCGGATTCTGTCTCGAAATGGCCTCCATGGTCGAATCAGTGCCCAGAAGCCAGCACTAAACAAAAGACAAATGAAAAACCGTGTGGCATTTGCCAAGAGCCACAGCCTGCTAAAAGGATGGACACTGGAAAAGTGGAAGAAGGTGGATTTTTCAGATGAATCTTCTGTTGAATTACACCACAGTCGCCACAAATATTGCAGGAGACCTAATAGAGCCCGCATGGATCCGAGATTCACCCAGAAAACAGTGAAGTTTGGTGGCGGAAAAATCATGGTCTGGGGTTACATCCAGTATGGGGGTGTGCGAGAGATCTGCAGGGTGGAAGGCAACATCAATAGTCTAAAATACCAAGAAATCTTAGCTACCTCTTATATTCCCAACCATAAAAAAGGCCAAATTCTGCAGCAGGATGGTGCTCCATCGCATACTTCCATCTCCACATCAAAGTTCCTCAAGGCGAAGAAGATCAAGATGCTCCAGGATTGGCCAGCCTAGTCACCAGACATGAACATCATTGAGCATATGTGGGGTAGGATGAAAGAGGAAGCATGGAAGACGAAACCAAAGAATATTGATGAACTCTGGGAGGCATGCAAGACTGCTTTCTTTGCTATTCCTGATGACTTCATCAATAAATTGTATGCATCCTTGCCAAACCGCATGGATGCAGTCCTTCAAGCTCATGGAAGTCATACAAGATATTAAACTTGGATCTCGCAGCACCACTACTTAATTTGCTGACATATTTTTGTATTTGCATTAAATTTGTAAAATTTCTGTATAGGCGACAAAACTTTTGTCTTGCCAAAATCTGACCTTTCTGTCTTGTTTAAATGATAAATCTTTTTCAGTGAAACTAATTTATTTCAGTGCATTAAACATCATTTGGGAGGGTTTTAGCTTTTCATATGAGCTATTTCTAACACCAATTGATTAATTAAAACTCAGGTTAATAGCAGGTGTTTCTACAAAATAGATCAGGGACTGTACTGTTTTGTTTATTTTAATTTTTTTTTTCTTTTTTAAACACAAACACATACGCTTTGATTACTTTACGCTTTACTTGTTTAATGAAATGTATGGGGTTGATTGTTCTTATGTTGTGTGTATATATGATGCTTTAGCAATGTTGTTATTACATTCATGCCAATAAAGCTCATTTGAATTGAACGTTTACCTACAGTGGGTTCATGTTCCTTATGCTGACCAATCAGAGAGCAGGAATGTGCTGACAGGCCTGATGGAGGAGGACATACACCTGAGGGCAGTTTGATAAATCCAATAATATATCCTTTTCTAGTACTTTTGGTACTTTCAGTATATTTTGATGCCAATACTTTTGTACTTTTAAATGAAAGACTTCTACACTGTGGTATTACTACCTTTACTGAAGTAAACCAGGTGACTCCATGAATATACTGTGTTTGCTGAATTACTGAAAGAACGTCTTCTTGGCTCATGGACTATTATTATTTTTACTCTGTTGACGAGGTGATCGGCACAATGAATTGATGATCGGTCTGATCAGCTGCTGACATCATGTTCTGCTTCTGAAGAACTCTGTAACCATTTTCTAAGAAGTAAAATAAAGATTTTCCATTTCTTCCCTCGTGGTCTGAACGGCTCTCTGCTGTATATTAAATGTATAAACAGCCGGTTCTCAAACATCAGAGGCTCATTGAACACATCAGCAGCACAAAGTTATGTGCTTGGACCAATCAAGTTCACCTTAAATCTGCTTCCTTCAGGAAATATTATCAAGAAAAACTCCATAAACGTTTGTTGTTATGCCGATGATACTCAATTATATCTATAGATCCGACCGATGAAACTAATCAGTTAGCTAAACTCCAAGCTGCCTTCAGGATGTAATAGCCTGGATGAGCTGATGTTAAACTCCGCCCGCCTTTCTCTACACAGGAGGGAAAACCATTCACCCTGAATGAATTCAGTTTATATATGACCCAGAAACTAAAGGTGTATTTTCATTCAGCCTGACAGCTGCAGGTTCAGTACAGGTGTCACATGACCTCCTCTCACATTAGTGAGATGGGAGAACTGCACACATCTTAAAGTTAACCTGCAATAGGATGGTGTTTGGGGAACAGGAAAGATTCCCGCTCTGTGTGGCAGGTAAAAAGAGAAGTATCGTTTTTTTGGGAGAAGCTGGTAGCAGGTAAAGAAGGTAAACTGTCCAACAATCTCCTGCAGCCGTATGAAGCAGGTGTACATGTGTCACCATGGGCAGTGCATGTTAAGTAGATGCTGGATTCCTTCGGCTGAATTGAAACAACATTAACTGGTTGAAACTGAAAGAACACTTTCAACAGAATGACATCATGAAATATGTTAACATGTTCAAACTGGAAAAGTATCTGTTGAAAACCAGAAGTACAGAGTACAGGCTGTTTGTAATTTCAGGGTGAATAATACTAGAATTCCCAAGGTCACCTGAAGAGAAAGGACTGGCTAGAAACCAGATCTGTCTGGGGGACGACGACCATCTTCTGTTTGAAAGAATAAAGAATTTCAGAGAAAACTTTCTGTGAGGTACCCGTCTGTGTAGAAGCATTTTGTTGCTGCAATCAGACAAACGGAACGTTATTGGTGTCTGAAGAATGTGCTTCTTCTAAAGAGGTCATATTCTGCTCATTGTTCAAAATCCTATTTAGAGGTTGAACCAGAACAGGTTTACATGGTTTCATTTTTGTCATACTGCACATTGCTGCAGCTCCTCTTTTCAGCCTGTGTTGAAGGCTTGGTTTTAGCTATGGAGTGATACATCTTGTCTCTAAATGATCTTTGTTGGGAGTTGCACATGCACAGTTCCTAGTTAAGCACTACTAGCCAATCAGAAGCAGAGAAGGGCGGGTCAGCGAGAAGCCGGTAAACAGCTCGGGTTCAGCCGTACGTGTTGCCGACCGGCTTGGCAACATGGACTGGAGCGAGAGTTTCAGAGCGGTGAGTTATTAATCTGTATCCATAAAGTTTTAACTGAGCTCTGTCTCTACATCACAGGAACAACTTTATGTCCACTGACTGCCTGGAGGGTAGCTAGTGTTTGGAAGGGAGAGGAGAGCTGTGTGCTGCAGCTCGCTGTTTTTCCACCGGTGTTTCTGAGGGCGTGTCAGAGTAGCCGCTTGGTGAGGTTATATGAGGTGCGTTTAGCTTTCATCCCAAAGGGAAGCAGCTGGACTACAAACAAGCTGTTTTCAGTCCAGAGCAGAGTTTCTGTGGGAGATGGGAACTCCCTTTGGGATGGACTTCGGGCTTTTTCACTTTGCAAACCTGTTACATGCACAAAAAAAGTTTATAACTCAATAAAGGAGAGGGAAAATGCCCCAAAAAAAAAACACATGGCCTCTTTAAGTCATATTTGCTATTTGTCACATTGTGCTCCATTTGATCTTAAATAAATGAAATGAAAATCTAAATCAGTTTCTGCCACAGCTCTGCTCTGATTTTTTAAACGACTTGCTGGTTTCTGGTGCGATGCAGTCTGATCAATGATGAAACCTCTAAATGTTCATGAGGCTGAAAGAAGCGAGTTGGCCAGTCGGGACAGTTTGATGAATCTGAGTCGAAGGTGGAAGAGAAGAAAGTTTCCACGTTGTGTTTGGACAAAGAGTCAAAATGTAAATGTGAGAAATGTTGAAGCAGACAAACAGTTTGAAAATGAAACAACACAAAACCCTGTTTAATAATTTTTAATCGTTTGTTTTGGGAAAGATATCGAGTCCAAGTGACGTCACGGGTCACTGGTGCTGAAATAACTCTGACGAATAGAAACGTGATGGATGAACTGCGTGACCAGTCGGACCAGCTGATCTGATGTTTGTGTCTGAAGGTAAATATGATGTTTGTCCTCGGCGAGGCGACGACACACAACAAACTTTAAATAAACTCCTACTCATTCGTGATGACTCCTCCTCCTCCAGAGTTCACTGTGACCTCATCAGGTGAACAAAAACAACCAATCAGCTCGCGGCAGATCATCACCTGAAGCAGGAGGTGACACAGTTTAGAGAAGAAAACGTCCTCCAGTCTGCTCTGCCGGCCGATTGGCTGCGGTATCGGGTGTTGTTATGGAGGGGGCGGGACTTATGTTAGCTGTTGGCGTCTACAGTGGGTGGAGCCTCACAGGTAACCCTCCTTCTTGAACTGCTCGTGCAGGATGTCTCGGTACTCGTCGAAGCCGCCGTCGATGCGTCCAACCTTCCCGTTTTCACACACCCACAGCTCCTTACACACCAACCGGATCAGACGCTCGTCGTGGGACACCAGGATGACCCCGCCCTGAAACGCATGACATCACATGCTGAGGAGATACACCTGGGACGCACCTGTCAGGTACACTGCAGTAATGTGTTCACACTCACTTTGAACTTGTTGAGAGCTTTGGCCAGAGCCTCGATGGTCTCCATGTCCAGGTGGTTGGTCGGCTCGTCCAGGATGTAGAAGTTTGGACTGAAAAAGAGACAGACGACATCACCACCATGATCATCACCATCAGAAACACCAACAGCTGGACCCGGAGCTTTTCCCTACCATGGCATGGTCATCTGTGCGAAGGCCACTCGGCTCTTCTGCCCCCCCGACAGACTGGCCACCGGCCTCGTGGCCAGTTCTCCAGTGATGCCGTAACCTCCCAGCTGGTGCCTGTACTCCTCCTCCGTCCGACCTGTGACACACAAACACCGGCCAATCAGAATCTCTGACGCACCACGACGAGCTATGATGTTTATTGATGTTGTTGTTGCCATAGTTACCGGGGAACCTGTTGAGCAGCAGCTCCACGGAGCAGACGTTCAGGTCCAGCTGGTCCACGTGATGCTGGCTGAAGTAACCAATCTTCAAGTTCCTGATGACAAATTAAACCAGCAGCAAAGAAACGTTAATGGCTGCTATGAAATATGTTCCTTGTAAACTGTTCCCTAAAAATGTTCTCTATAAACAGTTTATTACAAGTTTCCTATAATCTGTACCAAAAAGTTACCTACAAACAGTTTGTAAACGATTCCCTTAACAGTTTCCTAGAGTAAACATATTTCTTTAAAAAGAATCCATAAACAGAGAGAGTAAAGTGTTCCCTATAAACAGCATGTAAACGGTTCCCTGTCAGAGGTATATACACAACTCCCTATAAACAGCATGTAAATGTTTTCTATAAACAGTTTGGAAAAGGTTCCCTAAACACAGCATTACAAGATTCTCTGACAGAATGTGAATTGTTCCTTGAACAGTAAGTTGATGGCTCTTCAAAAAGAATGGAAAAGGTTCCTGAAACAGAGTATAACAGGTTCCTTAAACAGAGTATAACAGGTTCCTTAAACAGAGTATAAAGGGTAAACAGAGTGTAAAAGGTTCCTTAAACGGAGTATAACAGGTTCCTTAAACGGAGTATAACAGGTTCCTTAAACGGAGTATAACAGGTTCCTTAAACGGAGTATAAAGGGTAAACAGAGTGTAAAAGGTTCCTTAAACAGAGTATAACAGGTTCCTTAAACGGAGTATAACAGGTTCCTTAAACAGAGTATAAAAGGTTCCTTAAACGGAGTATAACAGGTTCCTTAAACGGAGTATAAAGGGTAAACAGAGTGTAAAAGGTTCCTTAAACAGAGTATAACAGGTTCCTTAAACGGAGTATAAAAGGTTCCTTAAACGGAGTATAACAGGTTCCTTAAACGGAGTATAAAGGGTAAACAGAGTGTAAAAGGTTCCTTAAACAGAGTATAACAGGTTCCTTAAACAGAGTATAACAGGTTCCTTAAACAGAGTATAAAGGGTAAACCAGAGTGTAAAAGGTTCCTGAAACAGAGTGTTCTTTAAAAAGAATGGAAAATGTTCCCTATAAACAGTTTGACATTCAGGTAAACAGATTCGGGTAACTGCTCTGCTCTGATTGGCCCGCTGGTCATCTTACCTGTGAGCTTGTCTGACTCCATTGACCGGCGTCAACTCGCCCATCAGCAGTTTGAGGATGGTGGATTTACCGGCACCGTTTTCACCGACCTGACAGGAAACAACAGGACACGTTACCTCACAACCGATACATTCCTGTTTCTGATTTATTGATCAGTTGTTGTGTTCCACATATGGATGTTGAAACCACCACAACATTCATGGTCAGGATAAGCTTTTGTATTTTGAGCTCAGACTTCCTGGATCCTAGAGACTGGTACTGAAGGATCAACTTTATATATATATATTGTTGCTTTTACTGATCATGAGGACACTTACGATGCAAATGCGAGACTCAAGGTCAGCTGACAGGTTGAGTGAAGAGAAGAGCGGCAGGTCTGGAGAGTAATAAAACTCTACTTCATCTAACTGCAGGATGGGAGGAGACAACTTCTCAAAGTTATCAGGAAACCTGCGGGAAGAAAAACCACACATGTTCATCAGTCCGTCAGTAAATCAACATGATGGATCTACTGTTGCACTCAGCCACTCAGCAGCATCTGCACACTTTCTGAAAGTTTTTAACTCAGAAAACTGAATACGTCTCCACAGCGGACCAAACGGGCCGGGGGACCCGTCTGAAATCAATCAACATACAAAAAAAAATAAAATCACACACTAAATGATCAAAATATAATAATCTAAATG